CAAAACCTCATGATCCAATTACCTAATCCGTCATTCTCCGGGGCCATTAATATTCCTGTTGGATTCCGCTCTTTCGCAAAACCAAACTCGGATGTGACGTTCACAGATCAACAAGAACAGCAGCTGCCCTTTCATCACACCAGCTTTCAATCAATCGAGCGAGCGAGCAGGCGAGCGATTGACTTCATGTTTCGGTGCTTGAACCAAAAAAGAAACAAAAGAGGAACGGAAGTGGCCGAGCTTTTCAGCACAAGCGGACATATCACCAACACAATGCTCTGCTTTCTGATTGGATTCTTTTTTCCCTTTCGATCCAGTGCGGCTCTTGGTGGGCAGTCAGGATCGGTACGCCTACTGCAAGAGCTTCTGAGCCAAAATTCCATTTCTCTGGGCTGCATTAGGGTCGTCAAGCACAAAAAACATTTGAAACGGACGAATCGGAGCCCGAGTCTTCTTCTTCTCCCTCCTCACCGATTCCAACGAAAAGTAAAAATTTGGAAACAAGTCGATCAATCGATCCATCGGCTTATCAAACATGCAGGCTGGGTCGATCGATCGATCGATGATATCAGTGGGCTACCATGAGCCACTGGAGCGGTCAAATTCCCGCAAACAAAGGAAAACAGAGGAATTTCGGGAATAGCTTGGGAATTAATTGTGGAGACATTTCCCCCAACTTGAAAGGGGAAAATGAAAATAGTACAGTACAGGAAAATTCAAGGTTTTTTTCCCTTAAATTCCCCTGAAGCAGTTGTTCAGACCAAGCAGTTATTCTCGGGCTCTGTCCTCGGGCCCGAGAACAGAGCCCGAACTGTTGTTCTCAGGCTCGGTTCTCAGGCTCTGTTCTAACCTACCACGTCGCTCAAACCTGGCCTCAGTTTTTCATCAGCATTCATGCACACGAGTGCCACTTGTATCACCCTCGAGAACTCTGCTTCTAAGCTCTCGGAAGAATCCCTCTTTAGTTTCCTGTCCACGAATTCAAGCAGTTTCCCCCTTTGTTTCATGCTCCAAGTTTGAATGCAGCCACAGTACAGCTTTAACAAAAACATGTGAGTGAAGAACATACCCACTGCAGCAGCAGCTGTTTGTCAGTTGGAAGCGTGAGATTGTTATAAGAGATGATCTCCAAAAGAAGTACTCCATAGCTATAGACATCAACCTTGAATGTTAGTCGACCTTGCAATGCATATTCTGGTGCAAATCCGCTGCATGGGACATAAGTTATAGGGAAAATGTAGCAACTTACAATGTTCTTGTGATTGAAGCCTTTTTCTAAGTTGAAGAGTTTCGAAATTCCAAAGTCCAAGATCTTTGCATTGAGCTTTATATCCAGGAGGACGTTTCAGCAACACCAATTGCAATGCTAAATCAAGTTGGCCAGTCAAGATTCAGAGTTGGATCTGCAGCTGTAAATGAAAATCCAACATGATGAAAACAATTCAAGCAATTCCAAACAACTTACAGAACAGTAGCCTACCTTGCTGTAGCATGTATTATGTGGACGCTTTAGAGTGACTTGTCAAACATATCACTAAATCCCTAGCAAGTATGAGAGAATTTTTTTTAAAGGTTTTTGGTTTCTAAGATGGATTTTTAATTGCTCCGATTTGGCGAAAGTGAAAATTTCAAAGGAAAAAGTAGTAAGGTAGTCAAATGATAGGGCTGTGGATAGCCTTAGCACATATTATGATAACTGAAACTTAGTGTAAAAGTTGGCACGAAATAGAAGAGAGGATGATGGTGCCCTCAAATAGAGAACTTCCTAAGATGGGGCAATGGAGTTGTATAATATGTGCAATGCAAGGTGTCAAAGATACCCAGGAAATTGACTTCAAAAAATCAAGATTAAAAATTCCAAAGTGCAAAGTTTATATTGATGAAAACTAAAATTACTCAATAATGAGTAATAGGATTGAGTTAGAGAAGGTATCTTTAACAGGTTTAACAAAAACTGAACTAATGAAAGGAAATAACCACCACAAGTGGTCAAATGAGTTTCTAAATTAGAGAGATTATACTCCTTAGAGTACCATAATTCTGGCCATAAAGAATTTCATGGATTTTTTCTCTTAGGCTCGCTGGTTTTGGAGGTGGGAGCGTTGTCCCGCTTAAATGGCAATCCACAATTTGAGAGGAGTATGCGCAGTATTAGTGAACTGAACTTACTGGGAACAAACCTTGACATAACTGAAGATTTGTTCGATTGCATATTCTGGAACATAGAGAGAGTTCAGTAGCTTTGGTTCTGACCTCCAGCATGGATGTAAAGCAGATTTCAGTCACTGACGGCGGAAGTTTGCCGGCTGAGAAAGAATCCAACAGCTCCAAATTTCCTTTAGCTCCAATCTAAACTCGCCTCAAGATGTTCGTCTTTCGCTGATATCTATTCTGACTTCAGCATTGAGAACGTGTGTTTCATTATTCCAACCATGGTGGTGAAACCATGGTTATCAACGTTAAGGTGCTACTACTGCCACTGGAGTAAAAGTTTGTGCGAGCTTTTGTGTGAGTTCGTGCTCTTGGATCTTTATCTATGGGAGATTGCCCCCTTTGTTTGCTCAATCTATTCTCTTTTCTCTTGGCTCTCCAGAAATTATGGCTCCTACTCGAAAGCTTGTGCTTGCATCGCTCCTCTCATGCCTGGTCATCGCTGCGGCTTTTGCTGCTGCAGTTTTGTTTAGTTCTTTCTCCAAAATCTCGATAGTTTCTGTGTCCACACCAGCGACGACCATGGCAATCCATCAGCAAACTACAGTGCTCAATAGTATAACTCTCTGTGTGTTTTCCATGACGTTTTTTCTGTGGATCTTAGCCTTCCTTTACACGGCTAGGCCATGTTTTGTTCTTTGAAGTTAAGCTTGACTCGAGAAAATAAAGTGGTCAAGAAATGGATGATCTTGCTGGCCGGGTCTACTCTGCTGGATTTGTCACAGTCTTTGCTGATTGTGAATTTCGAGTCGGAGGACACGTTCATTGACCCTGAAGGCAGCGCTCGCGGCAGTGGAAGCGTATACAATTTCTAGATGTTGAGAAGCGCTGTTTTCTGCTACATTTCAAGTGGCTTGCAGATCCGTGGTGGTATGAACTTGGGGAACGTGAAGTCCTATCTTGATACTGGGGCGAGTCATGTGTTGTCACCTCGGTAAGTGTTTTACATCAGTCTTGGAATTTAACTCTTAACATTGTGTGTGTGAGACTAAGTCTTGCTCTGGCATTCTCTCGGGAGCAAGGAGCGCGATGCAATTGTCTGGATGGCAATGGTGCCAGGTTTTGCTCCCAAGGGACTCCTCTTGGAAACTTGAGTTTGGTGCCCGGAAGAGGCTCATCGCTTCTTGGAGGTGGCCAATTCCAGAGATAGGCTGAGAGGAGCACTGTGTGCGCCATCTTGCTCTTGTAAGGCATTCGATCGTAAATAAGCTTTGCATTTTCAAGATGGTTTCTAGAGGTGAGCATATGGATCATTGTTGAAGAGATGAGCCATCTTTAGGAAGGAATCTAGTGCCTCGTCCAAATGCCCATTCGAGGCATATGTGCCAAGCATGGAGTTCCAAGCCACCACGTGCCTCTCAAACAAACATTTAGCCTCCTCCAAGCAGCTATGAGCTTGCCAAACACCCTCACTATCATGCTTTTTGTGTTAGTTTCATTTCGGTCCAAAATGCTATTTATGGAAAGTGTTTAGATTCACTCATTTGGCATATTTATGGAATGTAGAGATTAGCTTGAACACAATGGTGTTCGTCCCGTGTCCAAATTTGCAATTTAGCACCATTCTATATTTAGTAAGTTTTAAGCTTGTCCTAGAGACTAACTCCTGATACTAAGGGAGACTTGGGGTGAAAGCCCAAAGCATGTGTTCCTCAAGGGGGGGCGGGGGGGGGGGGGGGGGGGGGTCCACAAGCTTGACCACTAAGTCCCATGGTCCTTTGGGACTTCCTCACTATGTGATTGTGTCCTTGGTCACCACACCAGAGGACTACTCCTCTTACTTTCTACAGTCTGGGAATTTGGGACAACATTTCAGAACACTGTGGCTTTACGCGGGCCTTCTAGGTACTCTCCCCGCCTTCCACCTTTGGGTGTTTTAGCTATGGGCTTAAAGTGAGGTTCCATTGAGCCACACTAGGTATCCAAGTAGGGAGTGCCACCCACACTTGGACTAGGAGTATTGACCATTCGATCTCCCGGGGGAACTAGAGCCGGCTCTTGAACACTTCACCAAGCTACCCTGTTTGTTAGTTCGTATTCACTCTAGCCTTGGACTTCCCAGTAGTCAGATCATCACTCAACACTGGATCTGGCCTTCTTGGGCCAAATTAGCTTTTCCTGGCCAAACTAGCTCCACTAAAGTCCTCCCCTTACTATACTTTTGGAGCTCACTAAACCCCCCAGAGAGTCTGGGAGACGAATGCTTTGGGCTTTCACCCCCTCAAACTTGAACTCGGACTTAGACTCGGACTCGGAATCGAACTCAGACTGGGACTCGGACTCGGACTCGGACTTAGACTCAGACTCGGACTCAGACTCGGACTTGGCCTCGGTCTTGGCCTCAACCTCGGTCTCGGTCCCGGTCTCGGTCCATCTCGACTTCGGACTCCATCTTGGATTCCATCTCAGACTCCTTCTTGGACTCCATCTCGGGTCTATCTCGGACTCCATCTCGAGTCCATCTCGGACTCTATCTCGGGTCCATCTCGGACTCCATCTTAGGTCCATCTCGGACTCCATCTTGGTCCATCTCGGACTCCATCTTGGGTCCATCTCGGACTCCATCTTAGGTCCATCTCGGACTCCTCCACGTGTCATATGTTGGTCCTCTTGTGTCCCTTTTTTAGAGACTCACTTATTGCTTGCTTCGTGCTTATTCCTCGAGCATGTCATTGGGAGTTCCACTCCTGCTCTCGACTTTTCAAGTCGGAGCTTTTAGTCTAAACGTGTTACGCTCATGTGTCTTTCGCTTCAACCACTACCACGTGGCACCC